CATTTGGTAGATGAAAAAAGCATTTTTAAAATGCAAAATAATTGAAAATTTTCGAATTTTATTTTCAAATATTTTTTTCGTCATTTATATTTTCCCAAAAAAATAAAAAAATACCAAAAATAAATAATAAATAAATAAATAAATACATTTTTTTACATATTCCAGTAGAATATTAGAATATTCTAATATTCTACATATCTGACAAATCTTGTACAATATTCTAACATTCTAAAAATCATGTTAGAATATTTACAATGTAATATTTTATTAGAATATTTCACGTATTTTTTCAAAAAAAACGGTATTTTTTTATTTTATTTTTAAAATTTTTTTTTTAGGTAATTAAAGTACCAAAAATAATCATTAAAAAAAGAATATTTACAATGTAATATTCTATTAGAATATTTCCTTATATATATATATATATATATATATATATATATATATATATATATATATATATATATATATAATGCAAAATAAAAGAAAAAAAATCCAAAAATTCTTTTTTTAAATATTATTCTTTTTATTTAATTTATTTAAAAAAAAAAAAAAAAAATCCCATTTTTAGAATTTTAGAATATTATAATATTCTACTAAAATTGATAGATATGTTAAAATATTCTAATATTCTACTTGAATTGTTAGAATTGTTAGAATATCGTAACAAATCTATTAGAGTTTTTTCAATATTTATAGTTTAATATTCTAACATTTAAAAATTCGATTTGAATATTTACATTATAATAAAACGGTATTTTTTTTTTAGATAAAATAAATGACGAAAATAATATTAAAATTTTTTTTTTGAAAATTTTCATTTGTTTTGCATTTTAAAAATATTTTTTTTATTTCCAAATGAATGGGTAGAATTACGTCCCCATATCTCACAAAATATGGTCTCACATGAAAACTTTCATACCACCTCATATGTCTCATCCATAATTTTCAACACAGTCTCGGAAAGAATCTTTTTTTTCGTCGATAACAATTCGCCATCATCTCTCTATAATAGAAAGAAAACGAAAGTTGGATGCTATAATTAATATCAATGTTGTAAAAAAACGTTTAACGTTAGCTAGTAGGTGGAGTGGGGTCAAGAGATTAATTGTCGAGGCGAGAATTAATCGGGGCATTAATCGGAGACCCTATATTGCTAATTCGTTAAATTTAAAAAAAATTAAATATGATTAATATCATAACAAAGTTCATAAATACCATTAATATCATAACAAAATATGTTAATATGATTAATACAATAGTAATCTTTCTTCAAATAGTTTCCGTTCATATAGAACTTCTTCAATGCGTTAAAATTTCATCGTTTGCTACTGTTTCGCGCATTACGTAGGCATAGATTAATCGTTATGTGCCTACTACTAATCGAAGATTAATTGGGATTTTTACAACACTGATTTAATATACATATTTATAAAAAAACGAAAGTACATTGATACACACCATCTGTTTAAGTTTGTAAGCAAGTTGAAGCTTTGGCTTAGAGCCTTCGAAATGAGTCAGATGATACGATGATTGTTTTTCTCCAAGTAGACATTTGGGTCTTTTTTCATCATCTCGATTATCTTCGTTGATATAACATCGATCTTTGGAAAATCAATCATTCTAACATGAATAATTGTCGCCATTAGACGACATGGTCCTCTTTAAAAGTTGATCACCGCCTACGGAAAAAAACTCATTCTTTATTTGATAAATATTATAAAATTGTATATGCCAAAGAAATTGATTATGGATTTTTACCTTCTCGTACAAACATGAATTTGGGACTACAAATCGACCATTAGTCTCTACAGTAAGGAATGAGGTGTTACTAAAACCAATCTCTTCTACAATAGCTTCCAGAGACTCATATTTTAACAAAAAAAATTGTTAATTCTTTAAATTTAAAATATATAAATTATATTAACATATTACAAACCTTCACTTTATCACCCACTATAATGGTTTTGTCGAATTTTAATTGTAGTAAAGTGAAGATCTTCTCTAAATTTTTTTTACCTAAACATCCAATAAAGCCCTACACATGTAAAAAGTTTTTATTTGTTGGATAAACGATAGCGAGAGAAAAAGATAGGAAGTGAATTCTTGTGCAGAAAGATAAAGCTTTTAATATATATTTTGTCTTAGTGTCATTTATCCAACAATCAAAACATAATCTGCTTTCTATTTTACATGTGTAAGGCTTATGGCTGGATATTTACCTTTTTTTTTTTTTGAGAAGTTCTTTGTTTTCCTACAATTAAAATTTGACAAAACGATTTCAGTTAGTGATAAAATTAAGGTATGTAATATGTTAATATAATTTGTTTATTTTAAGTTTACAGTATTAATAAAAAGTTTATTTACAATATCAGTCTATGGAAGCTATAGTAGAAGAGTTTGGTTTCAATACCACCTCATTGGTTGGTGTAGATACTAATAGTCGATTTGTAGTTTCAAATTCGGATTTGTACAATAAGGTGAACTTTCATAATCCATTTGTGTGGCATCCACAATTTTACAATATTTGTCGAATAAATAATGTTTTTGTAAGGGGTCATCAACTTGTCAAGAGGGACATGTCGTCCCATGGTGACCATTATCTGTGTTAGAATGGCGAATTTTTCCAAAGATCCCTGCATTACCAATGAAAATAATTGAGAAGACGACAAAAGACAGACAAAAGACCTAAATGTTTACTTGAAAAAAAAACAATCATCTTGTCATATGAGTAGATTTGAAGGATCTAAATCAGAGCTTCAAATGGCTTGTAATCTAAAACAAATGATATTCCATGTACTTTTATTTTTTTTATAAATGTGTATTGTAGCATCCAACTTGTTTTTTTTTTCTTTCTAGATAGAGAGATGACGAACTGTTATCTACAAAATAGAGGATTCTTTTTGTGACTATACGAATAATTATGGAGCAGGATGGAGAGGTGGTATGATAGTTTTCCGTCAGAATCCTAGTATTCGTTTAATGGGAAACTTGAAGTACTATTTTATTTTGAACTATTTTGTTTATACCACGATTAGGCTTTTTGAACCCCTTTGAAGATGTTAAGGGTATTGATTGTTATATCATAACAATGTTTATATATTATCAAGGAATGACATTTTTTATGAAATTTTAGTGATTTTATTTTCAAGTAAAGAGACATTTGGTAGTTAATCATATTTCAATATAAATGGAATGGTCATTTTAGTACTCCATGGGAATTCTCGTGAGTGTCTAGTACAAAGAAATGATAATAAATAAATTAAACATATTTCATAGCAAAATATTGAATTCAACGGATTTTTAGTTAGGATATATTTTTGTCAATTAAAGGTTACCGTAGTTACTCTTTCTATTCTTCCTGTTGCTATTTTAGTGAAAGTACAGAGTAGAATGAACCATGAGGCCTCGACAAGAGTTTCTTTTAAAGAGAAGCAAGTAAGAGTGCTATGGTGCCAGTTGTTCGCCATGTCTTTCAATGTTGGAAATTCCTAATTCGTACTCGACCCGCCCATATAAAATCATTATATAACTATTATTAAGAAAAGTTTTGTAACCACTTTTGTGGCGATTTTATAGAGGTTAAATGACATTTTTTTTATAATGTTTGATGTCTTTTTGAACTAGTGTTATACCCGTCCGGTGGCCGGGTTGACCGATGTACAACAATGGATCAATTTTACTTTAATTTATAGTATTCTACTTTCATTTGTTCCCGTTGAACTATGATAAAGCTACCTATTTATAGTCTTATATATATATATATATATATATATATATATATATATATATATATATATATATATATATATATATATACGGGTGAGATCCGTTGAGTACTCATAGTTTCCCGAGAAACCCGAAAACTAAAGGTAGAATGTTAGGTCAAAATTAATTCATTAAGGACATGATCGTCATCTTACCTATCTCATTTAATGTTTAATTTTTGTGTTCTTAGAAATATTAATAAAAATATCTAAAATTTAACATAATTTATTTAATTTTCGGATTTCTTTAAAAAATAGTAATTTTTGTTTTTTTAAAAAAGTGCAGATTTTTAATTTTTTTTTTAAGAAAACATGGATTTAAAGAAAACATGCATAGGGACTATATCTGCCAAAAAAAATCAGGGGGGGGGGGGGGGACAGCCCCCCTAGCCCTATATAAGATCCACCCTTGTCGGTTCCCGGTTTAACCGGTTCGACCGTCGGGTCAACCGGTTTCCATATTTTTCATTTTTTTCCTATTTTCCTACACATACATACATATATAAATCATGAATTTGATGTGTATAAGTTTAAACATTAAAAACACACATAAAAATAAGTTGTAGATGAATCAAAATACATTAAAATAACACATAATCATAAGTTTTAATGTTTTGCATCAATCCATATACGTTAAAAAAAAAATAAAGTATAATACCGAAACGAAATATAGTTTTAGATGAATACAAACAAATCAAAAAACTTTATAACATTTACCATATGTTTTTATTTAGAGAAAACTAAAAAGATATGAAAAATACCAAAGTTTATTATGTAAATGGTTCGTTTTCATGTGTTTTTATTTGGTTTAACCGGTTGAACCGGTCAACTTTATTTTGACCGGTTCAACCGGGTTTTTCTAAAAACCGGTCGGTTCAATCCGGTTTAAAAATCAATGTAAAACCGGTGGTAGTTGAACCGCTCCCTCCCCGGTTCCCGGCCAACCGGTTTAACCGGCTGGTTCAAACCGGTTTTTAAAACATTGCATAATTTTCATGGCTGATTGAAGTTATATTTGACAACCCAACGCTTTCCTCATCAATTTCGAGTATTAAGATAAAGATGGTTACAAACACATACACACCATCTTTTTTGTGTCAACAACCAAAACCAAAACCAAAAGAGAGGTGCATGAAAAATTTCTGTTAGGGATTGCAATTACTCCAAAAAAAAAAAAAAAAAAAAAAACTAGTTGGAAGTATTTGTTTGCAAATCCAGAGAAATACAAACTCTTTACTTCCCCGTGCACGTAATTGTTGAGGCCCTGTGCTTCTTGATTATCTGAGCTAACTCCATAAGAACTTCCTGCTTTGCTAAATGCAACTTGTCTTCAGACTGCATAATGAGACATGGCGTTAACTTGAAAAAGGAAGAAAATTTTAGATGAATTCCAGAAGGTTGGCATCTGGCATCCTACTTCTACTTATTTCTATATTAGAGCATGCTTGTTGTATTTCTTTTGAGAAATTAAATATCCTCCTACCATTTCTTCCTACTTATCTTCCTACCCATTTGAAATGGTGACATGTGTCATATTTTGATAAAATTAATTATATTTTAAGACACATGTCATCTTTTAAAGTGGGTAGGAAGATAATTAGGAGGAAAAGTAGGAGGATATTTAATTTCTCCTTTCTTTTTATTACTAGTGTTGTACCTTCAATATTTTTTTTATTAAGATAGTGTCCTTCAACCATTCTGTCAAACTTTTTTAATTATTAACATTTATGACACTATACTTTAAAAAATCTACATATTTATAGCAAAAAAATTGCACTATATTTAGACGACATTGCTATAATTGAGTAGTGTTTTCAATGTATAGTGTTGTAATAAAAAAAAATGAAAGTAGAATGCTATAATAAAGAATTAAATGAAAGTTAGTACTATTAACCCCTTAAAAGTATATTGTTGCTATAATAAAAAACAAAATGAATGCTGTTGAATAAAATCAATATCATTAGTCCTTCATATTGATTGCATAAACAAGGTAACTCCGTGACTTTAGATTGATTTTTGACAAACAAAAAGGTTGCAAACGATGACTCTTTATGCATTAGTAACATTACCAAATATAAATTACAATGATTTTGGTCCATGATTACCTTGCTTTCTCCTTATTAAAAAATGTCTTAGGTTTGCAAACATTCAATACAATTAAACAAGAGTCCCAAACGAAACTTTAGATCAAAGATTCAATCACAAGCTCCAAAAAATCAGAATAGGATATTTTGCAATAAAATATCTCGGTTCCAAATTTCCAATTCAATAAAGTTTATTCTTTCTAGCAAGAAATTCTCTTTTTTTCTATCAGCCTTTTAAATCTATTGTGCTTGGACTTATGGGCGTTCCTAAATTCTTGAGGGGAAAAAAAGAAGAGTTATGTGAGGGGGAAATGTCAGCTTTAAGATCATAAAACTACATTATTATGTTCATAACTTAATATCTCTTACCATGGCAAATGGCAATCATAACCTGCCAGTAGTAGATAGCATATGATTCATTAAAAGGTTAATTGCAAGATATGGCATAGCACTTTACTGATTTGCTTATTATAGCATCATACATTCATGTCTTCCTATTACAGCATTGTAGTTTGAAAAATCAACCTGACTATAGCTATGTTATCTATATACAAAACAATTTCGACTCATATAATATAAAAAGTTGAAAGTATAATGCTATTTTTAGGTAGATTTACAGACTACAATGTCTTAACTAAAAAATATTTTAAAATACAATGTTGTAATAGAAAGAAACAAGATAAAATGTGCACATAATATTATTTGGTGAGGATACGAATACGTACCATCTGTTTTAGATTGCATCCAAAATTAAGCACTACACAATTTTTTTCCTCCTTAGGCGGCCAACAATAGGGCTGCTCTCCCTCCAAGTAAATGTTTGAGTTAGATTTCACCATGTTTTTGATTTCTTCTAACATCTTTAGGATCTTCTCATTCCCATCAACTCTAATAAAAATCTTGGACTTCATTGCACACCAACCATAACTTGAGTTCACAATAATCTATGAAAAAGAAAAACTATGTTGTGAAATAAAACTTTTAAGGGTAGCGAGGAAAGAACTAATGGTCACCTCACTAGAAAACATGGGATTTGGAACTAGTATAGGAACATTGTCTGCACTAAGCAATGAGGTGGTTATGAGTCCCATCTCAATAACTTGACCTTTCCCAGATCCAACCTGCAGCCAACACACTCGAAATAAGAACAACTTCATACGTAGATTAAATAACAGACAACTTACTTAATTACATACTTCTAGTATATCTCCAATCGAAAAGGGTTTGTGAAATAGTAATACTACAAACCAATACATGATATGGTCTAGAAAGCGTGTAGCTACAAAAAGAGCCAGAATCACTAGGTAACGAGCACTTGATTTCAAAATTTCTGAAATAATACAGATTTAAAGAAATTTATTAGTCGTGTAACTTAATATTTTCATTTAAAAAAGGGGAATATGCATATGACAATGCGAATAAACTTACGTCCAATCCTTCCCGTAGTCGAAATAGATTGTGTAACAAACTCCCGGTGTTTAGCAAAAGCTATACCAATGATACCAACACGAAGTAAGGAATACAGTAACAGAACACCACTACCCTTAGCTACTTCAGATCTCGAACCACCCTTTCCATCTTTAACAGCAGATACTGAATATGCGCGATGTTGCAACATACATGTAGTTGCTATAGGAAGAGAAATTCTTTGAAGATGCAAGCTTGATAATCGACATGGGATTAAGTCAATCTTTCTACTTGTACCAAAATTATACATCGGACAGCAAGGTTTTGTTATCACCAAGCTAACTCCGTTCATGGTTTAATTTAATCGTTTACCTAATTAAACCAACCAATAACATCAAGAAAATAGTTAAACATCAAAAGAAAAGTAGAACACTTATGAAAACTAACGAAATCTGAATTCCAAGATAAACTAAAAAAATAGAATCACCGTATGCAAGTCAAACTAATCCGCCATTACATAAAATGTCAACCTATAATATGATGACCTGTGCATGCCGATGACGTAGATAATTCAATTTTAGGGTAAATCAGAACTGTAGTCTCTTTCTTTTCTCCTTATCACGTACAGCATTGTACTTTGAAACAACTTCCAGTAATATAAATTATATATAGAAATTTTAACTGCGCTTAAATGTCTGTAACGACAAATACAAATTCTGGACATTGTAATAAATTAAACGCATCATCACAAAATGTCCAAGTGTTTGAAATGTTAAAAGTTGGATTAAGATGAAATAAATACGCAAACAAAAGAGTTAAAAAAAATTAAATTCTTACAGAGATACGTCCATCATGGGAGATGATACAAATACAGAAATAAACTCAAATGGATCCAATTGGGTTATGAAGTTGAGATAAAAGGAACATTAAGAGGTCGTTAGGGAATTCTTCCATCTGTTTGGTTCAAAAAGTACAATGGAATTCAATAAATTCCCATTATCTTAAATGATAGTTTTTACATTCAGATTCAAACATTCTATTTAGCATCATTCAAACTCAGATTTAAACAAGTTCGGAGTTTAATAACCAAATGGGTGCATGATAACATTTAAGAACTTTGATTATGCTAACTAATACTAAATAAATGAAGGTTTAACAGAAGAAGAACTGGTTATATTTGTGAAAAGAACTAACGATTACATAAAACAACTAGACTTACAATATGAGCAAACGATCTTTGCTTTGAATGACATCTAATCTGACAAGACATGGAAACCGTAATATGATATCAGCTTCAGAGATGAACAGAGAGAGTCATCTCTGTATTCCCGAGATGAAAAATATTGACAGGAAGAAAGGGAAGAAAAATATTGACAGGAAGAAAGGGAGTGAAAGGAAAATTTTCCTTATTCCGTGTCCAAGGAAATGAAAAGAAAATTTTAAGTTTCTGTATTCCCGAGTTAAAAGGGAAAAGAAAACAAAATTAAAAGATTACAATTATACCTCTATTTACACATCATGTTTAGAACATCTAAACAATATGAATCAACTACAGTGATGATCTTTGTTTGAAGCTTGTTATTGAAATCAAATCAATAATTAAATAGACGATAAGCTTTAGTTTACCAATAACCTTTTTGTTTTTAAAATATTCATGAAGAAAAATATGAAGATTGAACAAAATTATGATGGTTTAACAATAATGTCATAATAATATATGTGTAGAGTGCAGACTGATCACATATGAGAACAGAAAATGTGAAAATATAAAAGTAACACAAAATTTCTTAAATCGACCAAGTTAGACTTTCTTGAGAAAGCACAGGAGACAGTTGGAAGTCAAAATTTGGGTGCAGTGGGATTAACAAAACTTTTTTTTTTTAGGTCGAAAGCAATTCACCTTGAATCCATTGTTGGATTAGTGTCTAAGCCCGTAACTATATTTGGTAAGTACTTGACCCGGTTGTGCATGATCCTTTTGGGTTGTCTTCACCATAGCAACTTGACAGGTTGATTTATATAGAGAGAAGAGATATTATTATATTAATATGTTATAAGAATAATATATTAAAGGAATAATAATATTATTTAATTAATATTAGTCATAAATTAATTAGGAATTAATTTGGTGACTAAAAGAGGTTAATTGAATAAAGGGGCTTAAACTGTCAAATGTGTGATAGTTGTGTTTTTGGGCTATGAATCCTTATGGATATTAGGGTGGCCGAATTTTAGGGTTAGGATATCTTAAATTCGTCCAAGCCTTATATCTAGAAGGATCATTGGATTGCTTAGGGCCTAAGTTATTCAATTAGGGTTAAGGATGTAACCCTAGTAGCTCATAGTATAAATAGACCCTATGGGTGAGGGAAATCGGCCACTCTTGGAAGAAAGAAACCCTAGAGCCAATTTTATCATCTCTCCTCTCTCTCCAAATCATCCTCTTGCTAGTTGGTGTTTGTAAGCCATTAGAGGAGTGACAGTTGTGACTCTAAGCTCCAAGAACAAGAAGATTCACGCAAGCAACTTAAGGTATTCTTCTAGATCTGATTTCATGTGTTATGTATCGATTGTTATCTCTAGATCTAGCATTGTAACCCTTGGAAACATTGCATGTTCAATTAGAGAAACCTAGATCCAAGCATTAGGGTTTGCATGTGCACATAGGAAAGTTCTTATGGCTCAAACCCATCATCCATATGTAACAAAACTTTTATATTGATTTATAGAATCTTCCTGATATTTGGTCTTAACATGAACAATTAAACCATAATCTTAAGCATTTAGAACCGGTTAAGGTTTGGTAGAAGAGCATTCCTGATATGAAATTGAGATATCCATGCACATTCATAATCAGAAATCAAAATCCAATGACACAAAAGTTGTATGGAGGCAACACACGCATGTAAGAAAATTGGGTTTAACAAGAAATCGGCAGCATAAGAAGATGAAGAGAAATAAGAAGAAAAAACGAGGTCATGCAACTGTTTAATTGGTTTCATGCAGATGCAGAAAGAAGATGAAAAAGAAAACGATTGAGGGAGGAAGATGTACCTGGTCAACGTGCGACTTGAGCAACTTGAGGATAAAGAAAACGATCAGAGGGCATGAAAAAAAAGATTATGCGGCTATGTGATCTTTTTAATTCGCGTCTTTTGGAGTAAATATGAACATCTTCAACTTGAATACACAACATGCTTCAACAACCCCTTCAACTTTTAACTTGCAAGAAGTCTAGTCCTTCAACCATGCTGCATTCAAAGCTTAAAAGAAATTACCCTTTTTATCCTGAAAACAAATAAAGTATCTAAATAATCTTGTAACACATCCAACGTAGAATTGGAGTAGATTGTTATTTTCTCAATACCCTCCTCAATTCTAACTTTGGAAGGGATTAGATAAAAACATTTCTGCCCACAAAAAGTTATTTTTGTTTTGAAGAAAAAAAAGTTGTTATGAAACAACAGATTTTGTTGAAATGTATGTTTTTTTATTGAATCCATATTTTTAATCTTTAATCATACTATTTGCAATTTTTACCGACAAAATGCACATTTATTTTAATATGTTTGGTTGTTCATGAAAAACAAGATTTAATCCTAAGTAATAGCTAAATTATTGTTAGACATTAGAATTATAGTAATACAACATTCAATTTTTTTTCCAAATAAAACTAGTTTCCCCATTGGGATTAAGTGTGGTTAAGAGTTTACATCAAACTGGAAGACAAACGAAAAAAACAAGTTGCGCTCCTTTTTGGATGACAAAACTAATTCTTTTATAAACGCATCAGATATTGGGGTCATAAAATTACTAGGTATTGATCCGTTGGACTCTATTAGAGAGCTCCACAGCCTTTGATGCAAGGAAACCAAATGTATCAAACTCAAATGTTATAGGGAAATCTATAGAAAAGTCTCAAATTTTTGGGAAAAGTTTCGATAAAGCCCTAAAAGTATATTTTTTTAACAGAATAGTCCCGATTATTTAACGTTTTGTCCAAATTAATGAAAAAAATCTTTTTTTTTTATATTTGAACAACAAATGACAGATTATATGATTTTCTCAAAATATTGGGACTTTTTTGTTCAAAATTTTTTTTATGACTTTTTGAAAACTTTTCCCAAAAGTTTGAGACTTTTCTGTAGATTTCCCAATGTTATAAACACATGTTGATTTTTTATTCATGATTTCTCATGTTTAGCAATTTCTTATGACACAAATTTTAAAGTTGCTTGCCCCACCGTAACAAAACGTTTTAAAGTTTCAAAACTCATAGTATTTCACTAATAGAATCAGGCCCAAAATCGCCGTTCCCTCTTAGTCACATGAATATAAATAGGTTATAATATTTACACTTGACAACCTCTAAAATACAAATAATACTCGAATAAAAATCATTGAATAGGACACGAGGTAGGCCTTTTGTAAAAATGCCAGCGGACTGATATCTTGAGGGTACATGTAACACTCGAATCTACCCTCTTTGAAATTTCTCCTTAACGAAATGAATATCGATCTCAATGTACTTGGTACGTTGTACTGAATAGGATTTTGAGATAAATAAATGGCGCTTACATTATCACAATAGACCAAAGACGTGTGTCGAGGTGGTAGACCAAGCTCTAAAAGCAGATTACGTATCCAGCAAATTTCGGCAACTACACTAGCGACCCCTCTATATTCCACCTCAACGCTAGATTGAGAAATAGTTGTTTGACGTTTGGATGACCAGGAAATCAAGTTGTCCCCCAAGTAAACACAGTAGCCAAAGGTAGAACGAAGGGTGTCCGGGCAACCCGCCCAGTTTGCATCAGTGTAGGACACAAGGTTGGTTGGTGAACTGACATTCATGTATAATCTCATATGCATTGTGCCCTTAACATATCGAATGATGCGTTTTAGAGCATTCCAGTAGGCAGATCGAGGTGCATGCATGTGCATCCAAACTTGTTGAACAACGTAAGATATGTCGGGCCTAGTGAATGTTAAGTACTGAAGAGCCCCAAGAAGGCTTCGATAGGTAGTGGGATTGTCAATTAAGTTACCCGCTTTAATACTTAGTTTTCCAGTTATGTCTACCAACGTGTGTACCGGGTTGCAATCTCCCATTTTGGCCCGTGCTATTATTTCTGAAGCATATTTAGCTTGAGACAAGAACATGTCGGTTACGTCACGTTTGACCGAGATGCCAAGGAAGTAATGTAAGGGACCTAAGTCCTTCATGGCAAACTCGGACGAAAGGTGTGATAGAAGTTGTTGGTGAAGAACCGAAGATGAGGCAGTGAAGATGATATCGTCTACATATAAGAGTAGATAAGTAGTGTCGTGGCTGTAGACAAATAGAGAGTG